CCTCCGGAGGGACACGATACCCCCAGAAAATGGCAGAGCTGCCTTTTTATTGGGTCTTTTTGTTCAAAAGTAGATATTCCTGGGAGCACAAGAGCTGTGCCTGGAAGGGTTTTGAAAAACTGGCAGTTTTGGCCACCTCAGTCTTGGCTTTTATTTTTTTTTAAAAGATTTTAAGAAAACAGCATTTATGGAGCGATGCTCCCATGGAGGCCTTGATGTTTCTAAACAACAGCCTGGAAAAATCTAGTGCCCGCAGGCCTAAAAGCAGAACTTTAAAAAATAAATTCCTCCCTGGCCTCCAGCAGATTAGTGGGGCAGGGTGTGCTTCAGGGGCGTAATCCGGGCGGCAAATTGCCGAAAATCCTCGGAGTGAACCGGCAGAGATTTCGAGAGGCAAATTTCTCATTTTCCTGGGCTAAAAATAGACGCAAGAAAAATTGCTTTTAAAATCAAAGAAAAGGTGGTGGCTGACTTTGCTCTCAGCATCCTCCCGGGGAAATGGGGTGCCCAGGCCACTGAGTGCCTGGCCAAAAGCTTTTTCCTGAAGAGCTCCATTAGCTTGCACGAGTGCTTTTCTTTTTTTTTCTTTTTTTTTTTTTTTGAGACTAAAAGGCTGAAAAGCACCCGGTTTTGGATGCCTTGCAGGGTGTAGCGTTACCTCTCGCTGCCTCCTTTGGCTTTAGTTCATGGAAAAGGCAGCTTTCAAGGGCAAAGAGCGGTCCAAAAAAACCCGCCTGTGCTTAGAAATGAAATGTGGTTGTCTGCCAGAAGGAAAAAAACGAAAGAAAACAAAACAAGGCAATAATAAATGTTGTCACCTCCTGCGTTGCAGCCCTTTCCAGGGGTCAGCAGGAGCGTGTGCTGCAGAGGGCAGTCCCGGGGTTGTAGGAAGAAGTCCATGAAGAAATCTGCATTTCATTAACAAAAATATTTAACTTCTCTCTCAAGAGAAATTAATCATTAATCATCCAGTTCGGGGAGCTGAGTTAAGCTACTAAAGCCCATCAGTTAGGGCTTGTGTTGAGTTGTTCTTTCGCAACAAGTTGTCCAGCATCTCTTTAATTTTTGATTTGCTTTACGTTCTCTAAATGATACAGTAGTTTGTCACGTACTAGAGTTTGCTTTTTGCGGGTATTTTTGATGAATCTCTTCTGAGACTTTTCGGAGCCCAAAAAGGAGAGACCCAAGTCAGGGAGCAGATGGGGGCTTGCTCCAGGCTCCAAACTTTTTAGGAATGTGCCAAAACCCTAAGCTGCCATTTCAGGAGAGGGTTTTGTCTGCTTTCCTGTCCCTGCTTTATGCGATGAAAAATTCTGCCTCTTTTTTTAGCAAGAGCTTGGTTATTCGGTGCCTGCCAGCTCCGCCTGCTCCCTCTTCGAAGCGGGGCTTGGAGGACCCCGTTAAGCCCTAACCGAATTTCTCCCCACCGCCACCGTGCCTTGGTAATGAGCTGGCACCCTGGGAGAGGGTCTGGCAAGGATGGGGGGCTGCTGGTCGCCCAAATCTGGCTTTCCTCTCCCTGAGCAGCATGATGGTCACCCTGCATTTTAAAATGAGGGTGATCAGCCTCCTCAAGCCTGGAGGGGCCACATCGCCCAAGCACGTGGGGTTGTGACACCCCAAACCCTATTTCAGCTCTCAGCCCCTGTTTTGGGGCCGGCGTTTCGATCCGGCATGGCCTCAGGGGCTCTCTCACTGCATTTCAGGGGCAACACCAGGGTGGAGGAAGCCTGCGAGATGTACACGAGGGCTGCCAACATGTTCAAAATCGCTAAAAACTGGAGCGGTGAGTACAGCCCCCCGCTTCCCAGCATTGCAGGGGCTGTGGTGAGGGTTGCTGATGCCGGGGGGACCCGCGAGAAGCACCCGAGCATCATCCTGTGAATTATCGCAGCAGAGTTTTACATCCCAGTGTTTCCATGGGGATGGTCCCTGTGGTGATGCAATTCCTCTGTTTTGCCTGACCTTGTGATGATTTAAATATTGGGAGGGTGGGCAAAGAGGGGGTGACCTGAATGTTCCTGACGTTAAATAAGCTGGGGTGCCGTTTACTGTTTTAAAATGAAGTCAGCAGGGAAGCCTGCTTGAGGAGCGCTGGGTTTGCTTTGCAAGCAAGGAATACTTTTGGGGTGGGACAGCAAATCCAATGGGTTTCAACATCTGAAGGATTCCCCCTTGCTGATCCAGTGGATGCAGCCAGTAGCAAAGATGAACACTCATCACCAACGATGAGCGTGTGGGTGAGATTCCCCCGCTGCACCCCATGGGGACGGGATCGACCCCAGGCAGACAAACAGTGCCTGGACACAAACGATTTGGGGTTGTTGCATCTCTAAACCTCTCTGGGTTCTGGGAAACGATGCGTGCTTTGCTGTTTTGCGGTGATCCTGCTTGTTACCGGGCCGGAGTGGTACATGGGTTCGGTGTGCGCTTCTCTCCCAGCTGCAGGAAACGCGTTTTGTCAGGCGGCCAAGCTGCACATGCAGCTGCAGAGCAAACACGACTCGGCCACCAGCTTTGTGGATGCCGGGAACGCCTACAAAAAAGCAGACCCGCAAGGTAAGCGGAGCGAAATCCGGGATTGTTTGTTGCAAAGCTCCTTAGCAGCAGAGGAGGTGACGCACCGAGGCTTTTGGTAGTCACCAGCTCCGCAGGGCTGTGGAGCTTCCTCGTTGCAGGCTACTCAAACGCCGTGATACCTCCTGCACTTCTGCTTCCCCGGAATAGGCTTTCAGATGATGCGAGGTAGTTGGCGTTGTCTCAGTCTGCCATGCAGACCGGCACGCGTAGGGACGTCATCTCCTTTAGGTGATCTCTGGTGCTTTGGCTGTACCAAAGCCTTTGCTGAGTGTGTTGGTTGTGAAGCGCTGCCCCTCGGTAGCTTCTTTCCTGGTTTAGCTCCACTTTGGAGAAATATTTGCTTCTTAAAGAGTATTTCAGGCAGGTCTCGGGTCTGGATTGCAGGGGGATCCCTGCCCTTAGCCCCAGCCCTGGTCGCAGGGGTTTCCCTGGGGCAGAGGAGAGGTGGGAGGAAAACAGACTGGGGTTTGGTGGGATGAGGATAAAGGATCTGGATTCTTTAAATCTGGTCATAAAGAGCAGGGTTGTGGTTTTCTGGAAGACCTCTGATTCCTCCTCCCCTAGCTGAGTGTTTGGAAACACACCCACCGACCCACCAGTATCACCCTTGCTTTCCTGTGCCGGGAGGGCGAAAGGAACTTAACTCAGGGCTGGTAATACTGTTTTATAACTCTGAAACACCCAAATTTCCCAGAAAATGGCAGCCCCAGCATGTTTGTGAGATCAGTATTTTGAATTTTGCTGTCTTTGAGGATTCAGCCTGACAAACCCAGGGTACAAGCCCTTTGTATTTTGCCCAGCCCAATTTTTGACTGCTACCTTTCAGCATCAGAATTCTTGCCAGGGCGAACCAGCAGGCTGTGGGTGGGATGGGGGTGTTTGGGCTGGGTGAATCGGGATTAGATCTACAGATACAAAAATGTGGGGGATCTGTAGATCTCGGGGATTGAAAATGTTATGTCTGTTGTTCCAGATAGACATAAATGTATGAGTAAGTACTTATTTGAGAAGCCGGCCTGCGGTCTGATGAAGAGTAATGTTACCAAGATCTGATTTTTTTTTTGGAGGGGGGAGGTCTTGGGCTGGGAAGTCTGATGTGCTGGCTGACTTTGTTGTTTCTCCTGAACACTCATGCTGCAGAGGCCATCAACTGCTTAAATGCAGCTATCGATATCTACACCGACATGGTAAGAAGCTGCGCTGGCAGCTCGTCAACCGACGTGTTTGTAAGAGAGGCAGCTCAGTAAATGCTGTGTGTGCTGGGCGGAGGGGGAGTTGTGTCCCCCCCATCTCACCTACAACCTCTGCCTTCTCTAGGGGCGATTCACTATCGCGGCCAAGCACCACATCACCATCGCGGAGATCTACGAGGCCGAGCTGGTAGACATTGAAAAGGTAAGGGTGCTGAGTGCTGGGTGCTGCTGGGGCTGCTCTGCAGGTGCTGTGGTGACGGCTGCATTTCCTTCCCCGGCCAGAGCAGCGCTGAGCTCAGCGCGACCGGTAAAACCCATCTCCCATTTGGCACCAGGCCTCTTTATGTAGGTGCGAGTCACCTGGAACTTGAAGTTAGTGTCAGCAGGGGGAAAGATGATTTTCCTGGTATGGGTCTCTCGCGGGGCAATCCAGACTCTTTGTGTGCCCCCCTGCTGAGCAACAGCAGGGCAGGGCTGGCAGAAACGCCCAGGTGAGAAATCTTCTCGACTGAAGTGGTGTTTCACATCTGAAAAAGCACTTTGGGAAAGCCGCCAGGGCAGTTTTTACAGCTGTCTCCTGATGCACCCGAAGGAACCTGCTGTTACTTTTCATTCACGGTTCCACACCAACCCTCTCTCGTTCCTGTAATCGAGGGTCCTGAGCAGGAATCCTGCTGCAGCTAAACCAGCTGCAAATCTTCTGCTTGAAGTTTGCAGAACAGAAATTTATGATTTGTGGATAGTATTGTCTAGACAATCATTTGTTTCCTCAGCTCCACTTCATTGGATCCCATCTCTCACTGTTAATGATGTCAGTGTTGCATCTCCACGTGCAGGCCCACTTATATCAAGCCCGGCTATGTCAGGGCTGTTCTGTTAATGGATTTATTCTGTTGTGGCAAACCCGGCAGAAGCCTTGTCGCACTGTAAGTGCTGGTAGTCATTACCTCAAGAGTAGTGTCACCTCTGTTAAACCTGCACAGGAGTTTGGGACTCTTACCAAGTTCATGGTCGAATTTCCAAGGACAACCTCGTGTTTTGAGCGTGCAGGGGACATGTGGCAGCGCCTCGCTCCACCAGAAACCCTGCAGCACGCTGTGCTGCTGCTCCCTTTGTGCGCAGAATGGAAAAGCCTTTGTAATCGCGGTCGCTGTATGCTGCTCTGGACACAAATTGTGCTTTGGAAGTGGCATTCAAGCGCAATTGTTTCTGTCCCCAGGCGATCGCACACTACGAGCAGGCTGCAGACTATTACAAAGGAGAGGAGTCCAACAGGCAAGTGGTTTTTAGAAGAGGGTCACAACAGGGAAGGGCTGGAGACGGGGATTTGTCCTAGATGGCCCCTGCGCTTGCACACCTCACCTGCCAGCCTCTTCTGAAATGTCCTTTGGTGGGGATGCCTGAGTCCTGCTTACATTTCTCTGTAAGGTTCTCATCCTGCACGTGGGCTTGTCTGGGTTGGGGTGCCTGTTTTGGGTGCAGAGAAAGCAACGGAGTGATTGAACAGTGTCCATGTGGAGGTCTTCATGCCTTTCCCTCTGTTTTAACTTTGGCTGTTAGAAAGACAATTCTCCTAATTTGTAGCTTTTGGGTCCCGCTTTTACATACGCCAAGTAGTACACGCGGTGCTTGGAGGTACCAGGGCATGGATTTGTTTTTTCCCAGGACATAATTACTTATTTTAACCGCTGTTGATTGTAGCTCGGCCAACAAGTGTCTGCTGAAGGTGGCTGCCTACGCCGCGCAGCTGGAGCAGTACCAGAAGGCGATAGAAATCTATGAGCAGGTGAGGATCTGTGCTTCGTCCGACCGGGCAAGAATTTCTTGACGATGAAAAGGGGCTCGGGGTGTTGGTCTCACAAAATTGCCATGGCCTAGAAGCTCCTAATCTTCCTTATTTTGGGGCTGATTGTGCCTTTATGAGCTATGGTTTGCTCCTTCGCTTTTAAGAGTTGCTTTAACTTACCAAAAGCATTTTTTTCCCCCTGAATTCTATTGTTTTTCGAGAAAGACTGGGGGAAGCAGGGAGATGGAAATCGATGATTACACTTTTGATCGTATTTACAAATAACATTTGGCAGAAAATTTCCCCCCAGATTTGTAAACTTGATTGCCTTTGTGTCAGGTATTTAACCTGGGAATGCCTACAGTGCTGCTTTTGTGCTTCTGGAGGGTTACTATTGGAGCAGGTTTTCACCAAGTCAGCTTGGGTTTCCCTTTCTGCATCAGAGAGGAGATACGGAGGTACAGCCTGGTACCCCTGAACCGGTGGAGCGGCTCCCTGGGAGGATGGGGTGCATGGCTGCGCTCTCGCAGCTGCCTGCGAGTCTCTGACTTCACTTGTGATCAGTTAAAAAAAATAAAAATCTATCTGGCTTCCCAATGGCATTTTTTCCACCATCTGTATTTGCAGACAGCCGTGCAGTGCTGCATGTAATTTTAATCAGCTGTCTTGTTTTTAATTCCATTCCTAATGATGCGGTTTTCTTTTCCAACTCTAATAGTCTCTTTTTATTCCTAGGTCGGAACAAACACGATGGATAATCCTTTGCTCAAGTATAGCGCGAAGGAGTATTTCTTCAAAGCCGCTCTGTGCCACTTCATCGTGGATGAGCTGAATGCCAAGGTCAGTGGGCTCAGAGCAGTTATCCCAAACTTTCCACATCCCTCTTAATCAACCTTTGCTGGCTGAGACGCGTTCTTGCCTGCACAGGGATTTGTGTGGCTGTTGCGTGTAGCGAAGCCTGAAGTGTCAAATTGGCTTTTCTGTGAATACTTTGTGCGGTTTTAGGACTGGAAAGCAAAAACTGAAATAAAAAGCAAGTAGTTTTGTGTGAAAGGAGCATTAAGGGTTGACTTCTCTCTTTCAGCTTGCGCTTGAGAAATACGAAGAAATGTTCCCAGCGTTCACGGACTCACGGGAGTGCAAGCTATTGAAAGTGAGTAAAGCCAGTATTAAAACAATAGTTAGACTTGAAGATGCCTACGGCCCTTTACTTTGGGCTTTTTCACCTTCCAGTTGATTTCGATCGCATATTCAAATGTTTTAGAGGACATCAGACTTGCTTTGTGTTGGGTTTATACCAGACTTGTGGAAGTAGCTGCAGCAGAAAGATGATTATTCTAGCTAACTTTAAAAAAGACAAAAAGCCCCGAATTCTTTCTGTGTTCGTGACAGGTGGTTTGAACAGGTTGCGAAGGTGCCGCTGCGGGACACGTGGGTGCCCTGCGGTGCGGGTGCAGAGGTCCCCTCTCTCCTGGGGACCAGACGCCCGTGCGCCGGCCCTGCATGAACACGCAGTAACAGAGTATTTTCTAATTTTTTACTGGTGTTCTCCTAGAAACTGCTGGAAGCCCACGAGGAGCAGAACTGCGAGGCATACACTGAGGCAGTAAGTAGTCACAAATTTGGTAAGGTGCGCTCGTGGATGGCGGGTTGTTCCTTTATCTTTTTTTTTTTTTTGGTGTGTGCATGCTGTTAAATGTTGGGTATCGTGTTGCTCAAGCTCTTGAGTGCTGCGACCGAGTCCAGCGGGGCAGAACACTGGGAGCTTCACTGCTTAACCGTCCTTCCCCGAAACAACCCCAGGAGAGATGGGCATCGTTAGCAGCGCTGCTTCCAGCCTGTGCTCTAGCAAGTCCCAAACGTCATACTTTAAAATTTCCCATTTCTCATTGAGCGTTAAGTAAAGATCCTGCCTGGTTTTGCTCCAGTTCATTTCTACTTGAAGTGTTTTTTTTGGATAGATTTATTTTAGTTTTCTGTGGGAAGAGTAGAAGTTTTAAAAGACCGTACTTCAAGAGCTGCAGAATGCTTCTTTTGCAACAGTCTCCTTTGCTTTCTGATATCTTAGTTTAAACCTTTTTTTGTTTGTTTTTTTTTTTTTTTCTAATAGGTTAAAGAATTCGATTCAATATCGCGGTTGGATCAGTGGCTTACAACCATGTTGCTTCGCATCAAAAAGTCAATCCAAGGAGAAGGGGATGGGGACCTGAAGTGAATTGTGCGTGGTATTTGTGGCATGCAGCCTAAGTAATCTGTTCGTGTGTTACAGCCAAGGACCACTACGGGACACGTGATAAAATCGCTAGCTTTCTTTTGTTGCTTACAAACCCAATGCCTTGTGTGTTTCTTTAGTATCTGTGTCGTGACAACGCTGGGTAGAGGAGAAGCGATGCTCTGGGTATCGGTGGCAGAGCTTTCTGAGGCGAAAGAAGCACTTCTGGCAGAAATCTGTTTTTGGTAGCTGATGAACCCAAAGTCTGTCCTTGCAGCTACTGGTTTTTCCCCACTGTTCTGTCTTTAAGGCTCAGAACCATGGATTCCAGCATGTAAATATTTTGTCCGCACCAGTACAGTACAAATAATCGCTTCTGCTCTGTTGCTGTATTGTTACTGTTTTCTGTTTCAAAATGGACTGGTCAGATACACTTGGATCTTGGGTTTTTTTAAAATGATTGAGCTTTTTTTAATGGTGCTAGTGAAAGGCTTTGTGACTCTTCCATCCCGTATGCATGTGTGTGTATACGTCCTATACAGATACATGTGTGCACCTGTCAGTACAGAACACGTAATGACCTAGTGCTGAAAGCATTACACGCTCGGGGACAGGACTGCTTAGATTGGTGTCAGCCCTCCGGACAGTCGTCGCGAGTAGACCTAGTTAACGGTGTATTTTGTATTTCAGATCTAAATATAAAATGTAAGGTTCTTCTATATTTTCTTGGATCTATTTTTCCACTTAATTTATTTTGTGGTGCATCCCATCCCTCCTGACCTGAGTAATAATCTATTTTTCTAACTTTTCCTTTACATGAACTCCTGCTGCTGTCTCTAGTGCAGGTCTTGTGTGCGCGCCGGGCAATCCCCGTTAGTTTCTGACCTCTCTGCCTCCTTCTTGTGACGTCCAAAGGTGTTGACTGAGACTTGATGTTCTACAGAAACCTTGGGTTTAGTTGTCTGGGTGCTGGATGAATCGAGCTTGCTTTGAAAGGGTGTAGACAGGTTTAAAAATTCCTGCGGTAATTTTAGAAATGGGTTTTAAAATGTCTGCAACCAAGGCTCTTCCATGCAATGCTGTGTTTAACGAGAGAGGATTATTTCATGTGTCTATATTAAGACGGACTCGGGAGCCTATGCAAGTTGCCAGGGAGCGTTGTCACTCAGTATTTCTCTGCAATGAAGCGATTTTCAGCTGCACTATTGATGTGCAAAGAATGAAAAAGTAATTAATTAACTGCTTTATTTGGTACAACTGCTGGTTTAAGCGGGCCCTCTTCCACAGCCAGAGCAGGAATATCACACACGGCCGCCCAGCGCAGATCCTTTGTTTCTCTTGAAGTGATAGTCTCTGGCAACCAAAACACTGGCTTTTGCGCTTCTCTTTGGTTTGTTTTTAATCTTGATATTTATTTGAGTAGAACACAGTTTGGCTGATTGGTCTAAAGGGTTTAGTTCTAGTAACGTGGTACTTTTATCTCTACCACTGGCCTATGAAAAAGAAAGAAAACCAAAAAACTGCTCCTGGTATATGCCAAATTATTCTGTTGTTTTCCTGATGGATCTCACTGGCCGCTTATTTTCCAGAGACTATTCTGTGCATCTTAACTCGACAGAAAAGACCTGTGAGCTGTGCAAAACTGGCCAGGTGAGTGCAGTGAAAAAGCCTGGCCGATGCTCCCTTCTTCCAAGCACCTTCAGTTTCTTCACGTCTCTGCTGTAGTTTGAAGGCTATCAACCTCTGTCCACAACAAAACCCGTCACTTTAACTTAGACCCCCACATGTCACGTCTGTCCTTCCCCCAAAACTTGGCAAAGAAGTACTTTCAGTTCCCTTTAGCGTAGGGTCCTGGTCCGTGTCCACCCGAGAGAGGGAAACTCATCAGAAATGAGGATGAACCAACATTTTTCCGAGGGGGTCCCCTTCCCGTACCGGAGTCCTTCGCACACGCTTGGGCTGAGAAACTCCGGGGCTTAGGAGGCAGCTAGCATGGTAGGTAGGTAATCGTACAGCTGAAGTTGGATTAGCTGCAGATTTGCTCTTGTTTTGGACAAGAGGGCCCAAAGCTGGAACTGCTGCTGAACTTACCTGTGGTAAAAGGTTGGAGCTGGAACCGTTTCTATTTAATTTATCTGTTTCCTTAACGAGCAAAGACCCATCATATTGATGGCTTTGTCTTGGCTTGTATCCAACACCTTTGAAGCCTTGGTGAGGGGAAGCAGGGGCTGAGAGGTTTACTTTTCCTAGCGTCACCTAGAACCAAGGCAAGTATTTTATGCCTTTTTTTTTTTTTTTCTCTTCTTTTTGTTCACTTTTCCAGTTGTCAGTGTTATGCATAGTTGTGAGTGATAAGTCAGATAAGGAGCTGGTGGACCAGAAGACCGTACCCATGGGGTTGTGTGGTCTGTTAGGGCGCTCTGGAGTAATATCATTAAAATACAAATGTTAGTTCTGTATCAGTAGGCTACAGCATGTCCTCCAGTGTTTCAGTGGTAAATTGTGACAGTTGTAAAATGACAATCTGCCACTCTGCTGTATTTCCTCCCCCAGTACACAACTCTGTACTATGAAAACTTATTAATGAAATGGCCTTAGCAAGAATATAATGTTTTGTGTGAATCTGTACATTAATAAAGTGAAAAATCATCAATCTAGAAGTAGCGATAAATGTTCTTTCCTGGAAAATGCAAAAGACGGGCTAAAGCTGGAGCCTGACAAAAAGCCTGTAGGGTGTGACGATAACAGCTGGTATGCTCTTACCCGGTTACTTTGGTGCCCTGTTAAGGATGAATACTCGTTAAGGAAAGCACGGGCTGATCATTTTACAGTGACTGTCACACCGCTTACCTGCCTGCTGTAGGAAACTGGACTGTCCCACAGTGTCACATCTGTTTTTTCAGGTGTGTTTCTCAACGCCTAGCTAAAGCTCAGCTCCACGGAACCTATCCCGACTCCTGGAAAGGTAAGGTCTAGCCCAGGCTTCCACAGTGCTGAAGTGACAGGCCTGAGGAAGAAGAGTGACACCCGACAGCTTTAGGCCTGCAGTAGAGCCCAGTTAGGACTTACCCTGGTCTTGGGGTCTATGCGTTACGCGGAGGGTATAGAAACGTTTACTGCAATCGTCAAGTCACTGGAAGGGTCAGTCTTAAGATTTCAGTATTTTAATAAGAACAATTCATACGAGTAACTCACTTCCGTACATTCATGGAGTACAAAAGCTTCCCTGGCTACAGGTACTAATGCTCAGACTTTAAATATATCTACAAACTCTTTACATTGGTCATTGGGAATAAGAGCTTCAACAGGAACATGGTGCTTGAATAAATATTTCAAATATAACCTCTTGGAAATGTTCTCTTTTAAAAAAATTCCCTTTCTATAGATTAAGTTATGGTTCCACGGTAACACATCAGACATCCCTTTAAGGTTCAAAAATAGCTCAGTTTGGATATATCTTTATTGCTTTGCCAACCCCTAAGCCTTAGAACGGGCCCTAACAAGGCTTGATTGTGCTTACCTTTACACTAATGCAATCTTTCAGAAAGTTTTTCTCGCTGCTTCAGCTGAGAAAGTTTCTGTGGAAATACTACATTAATAGTTAAAATAAAGAGGAAACAGAAAAATGAATTAGAAAAGCTCCAGATTTTTACATGGTGGCACTGGGAGTCTGGTCCTGAGTTTCGAAGCGTTAACCATACAAGTTGCTGTTCACGTGAAGGAAGAGTCATCCCAGTCAGATGTTCCGTTGCCAGTGCCACCTATTTCAAAGGTTCTTCCCCTGCACAGGGAAAATACCCCAAATCCTCTCAAGTACTCCAGTGAGGTTAACTTAAGTAACTTTTCTCGTTCCAGCTCAGCTTCGGTGTTAGCAAAGGAAACGCAGAAAATGCTTGCCCAGCACAGAAATGCTCTCGGGTTTCGCTGTGTGACAGCTTGCCCAGCTACTGGCTGCGAGTGACTGGGGAGGACAAGGGGGCTGTACTCCCTGGGGAAGGGGAGGAGATGTTAAGGAAAGATCAGTCTTGGTAAGAAATGCCCCAACGAAAGGGTGATTCTCCTCGTGGGTGGGGAGGAGGCTGCGTGACAGTGAGGTTTTTGGAGCGTGGGCTAGAGGGGAAGTCATGCTAAGGGTCCCTGTGCTCACTTTGTCACGTTGCCTTATTTCAAGCAAACAAACAAACAAGGTGCATTGCCAGGGTTATCCTGCTAAAATTTAACAGCAGACGCTAATTGGGAAAAGCCTTTGAACTGTAAGTTTATTCATTACTTACGTTCTTAAGGCTTCCCTGTTAACACCTCACTGGGGCCAGTTAAACACACACTGGCCTAAAACTGCCCTTTGGATTCCAACATAGTCTTAGAGACAAAATATTCACAATTTGGGAAGGAAAGGCCTAAATCCCTTGAACAGTCCAGTACATTTTTCACTTATTTGCCTCTTTTTATGCCATTAGTCATATGAACTCTGACTACCTCCTGTTTGTAACCTCTGGAGACTCTTGCACTGGTGGAATTAACTGTTGCAACTCAACAGCAAAACAGCAGTTAACTTTTCCCACTGGACTATTACTTAATTTAAAAGTCGGTCCGCTGAGCACCGGCGATGTTTAACCGACAGTGGAGAAAAGAGCATTACTGACCTATCTGAACCAGCAGAAAACGGCTTAGTTAGTTAGTTAAAAGGAAAACGCCAAGAAGCTGTGTTTTCTACACTAGCTTTTCCAGCATAACTGAAGTACTACTTTTCGTAGACATTTTTACAAGAGATGTTTTGGTCTCTTAATTGCCAAGTTCTGTGTAAGCCAGAGCACAGTTAGAAAATGAAGACTGACTGAACGCAACTGTCAAACTGCGCCAGGTTTCACTAAAATGTAAAAATAATACCACCACCCGTACAGACACAGCACTCGGCTCCCACTTGCGCATTTTGCTACTAGAGAATGAAAACTCCTGGAATGAAACTCCAGATCTTTCCCAAACTTGCTCCCACTCATATTCCCAAGGAGTGAGCTGGCTCACTGCTCGGATCTTTGGCAAAAGCAGAGATAAACCAACACTTCCTGAAAAGCAATTTAGTAAAACTTCTTGGTGTTTTTTTTTTTAATGTATGAATTTCCACTAGGGAAAACACAATTTCACTAAGCTACTAGGCTGAGAAACACAACATCATTTCTCTTGATTGTACGCATGTCATCGAATCAACTGGAAATCAAACTTGCACCTTCTTTATAACCTATCTGAACATAGGTATTTACTTTCACTGCAGGCCAGCTAGAACAAACAAGCTGAACTACACCCTTTTATCCATCGGGAATAAACTTTGCTGGGACTTCTGCCTCCTCCATCAGCACCCTGTTGTGGTGTTACTCTGCCCTACCTTCAGGAGATGGAGCCGTACACTTTGGAGGTGGATAACGAATTTTTTGAGGAAATTCTGGAAATCCAGTGCACGTCTTTCACGTCTAGCCCCGCTTCCTTGTAACAGCTTCCCCTAGCTCCCTCAGTAGGTTATTGGCAAAGTCAAGGGACTGTACAAAGGGTGCAGCTTCAACTGGATTTGTAAAGACCGAGTTATTCCATATTCACCAGAGCGTGAAGCTGTGGCTGAATAGA